CTCTCTCTCTCTCTCTCTCTCTCTCTCTCTCTCTCTGTTTAAAGGAGGGTCCTCCTTGGTGGGAGCAGTCCTGCCTCAGACCTGAGGATGCACCACAGTGAGGGGTGGGGGCTGGGAGGGGTTTGCAGCTGTGCCCACATGATCCCCGGAAGTTGCCTCCGCCTCAGCACACCTGCTGACACACCTCCCCACCCCCCCGCTCACCCAGGAGAGCAAGACAGAGCCCCTCCAGAACACGCGCGTCCTGTCGCTGCCGCCTCTGGAGTCCTCCACCAGGTACCAGGCGAGAGTGAGGGTCAAGCCCTACAAAGGCTACAGCGGGATCTGGAGCGAGTGGAGCGAGGAGAGCTCCTGGGACACTGAGTGGGGTATGTCTTCCCCCCCACACAACCCCTCCCTTCCCGCTACAGCCCAGCTGGGGTGAGGGGCAGGGGCGATGTAGACACAGAGGTGTGACTGCACCCACCCGAGCATCCTTTCCTCCCAGGGGACACTAGTCATTGAAAAATGACACCTGCTGTACAGCACAGACTGCGGATGAGGCCAGAGAAGAGCAGGCCTCATCGTCATGCCTCCCTCACATGGGACCTTGGTCCTCTGTTAATATGACCCATGGCTTCATTAGCCTTTGTGTCCGCCACTAACCAGTGACCACTCGGCACAAAATTCTAGTTCCCACCCACAAACATCAGGCCTCCGGACAGAGGTCTGAGCTGGGAAGGTTTGGGTCTGAGTTCTTATCGTCCCCATCTCCCTGCTACTTTCACTGTCCTCACTTTTTACCTGAGCCTCCAGCTTTTCCCTCCCGGATGCTAATGCTCCTTTTTCTCTCCTGGCTACCGGAAGTGCTGCCCACGTGGGGCCTGGCCCTCGTCCTAGTCTTCACCACCCTGGCCGTACTCCTGGCCCTGCGTCTCTGTGGCACGTACGGGTACAGGTAAGGGGACTCCATGATAAGTGGGTGTGGGCGTACCTGGGACCCTAGGGGGGCAACGGGGATCCCACAGCGGACCCCTCCAGTCCCTACTCTGCCACCCACTCCCTGGGGGTTCCTGGGCAAATCTCACCCTCTCCTGGGGCCTCAGTTTCCCCCTGTATCTGAGCATGGGCAGCTGCCGAGGTCTCAGGTGGCTGTCACCTCCCTGCTGTCTTTCCAGGTTGACCCACAAGTGGGAGGAGAAAATCCCCAACCCCAGTAAGAGCCAACTGTTCCAGGTAGGACCTGCTGCCGGCGGCTGTGGTGGGAAGGGCTCCTCTGCACTGTGCCCATGTCCCCGTGCCCATGTCCTCCTCCCCTTCCTGGGGGCATGGAGAGTGGGGCACAGGTGGCCAGGGGAGGGGCTGGGAGGCTCTGAGAGCAAGGCCCGCACCTGTGAGTTCATCCCTGAAGACCCCCGGCCTCACAGTGCACAGGGGCCCTGCCGTCAGGGGCCCCGTGGGGCAGGAGAGGGTTGAGGGTGGGGATGCCAGGAGTGCACAGCTGGGCTCAGGAAGGGGGCGGTGGGAGGCAGGATGGCTCTCCCAGGACAGGACAGCAGGATCCGGGTGGACCAGGGAAAAGGTCTGTAGGCAGAAGGCAGGTGGGGATGAGACAGGGACACTCCACGAAGGACTGAGGAGGGTGGGCCATGAGGCTCGGCGCATCACAGGAGGCTGAGGGGACCACAGAGGGAACAAGAGTGGCGAGGGTCTCGAGGCCAGTGTGGGAAGACTAGGGGGTGAGTATGGAGGCAGCCACACCCCAATAAGCAGGCTCACCAGAGCAGGGTCCCTGTCCTCAGTGCTGGGTGGAGGACCCCAGGAAGTCCCAGCCCCTCTCTGGCCTCCCCTCCTCGTGTCAGAGGCTGTGTCTGGTCCTGATCATGCTGAGCTACCCCCCTTTTCCGGGGACTCGCTGAATCCCCCGCCACCCCCACAGCCCTCCCTCCACCAACACCAGCCCGCGGTCCCACACCCACAGGCACAAATGCCCTCTCTTCCAGGACGTGAGTGCGGGGCGCTGGCCCCCAGGCGGCGTGTCGGCCCTCACCAGCAGGAGCCCCGCACACAAGGGGCCATGGGGCAGCCGCTTCCCTGGGCTGGAGGGGTGAGTGCCTGAGCCTGGGATCCCTGGGAGACGGGAGGGTGGCCCCACCGTGCACGGGGGAGGTCAGAGGAGGTGGCCTCTGGCCTGCGGCTCAGCGTGGACCGGCGGAAGGAGGCGGTTGGCACTAGAGCAGCGGTTCTCAAACTTCTGGCCTTTTACATACAGTTCCTCATGCTGTGACCCAACCATAAAATTATTTTCGTTGCTACTTCATAACTGTCATGTTGCTACTGTTATGAATCGTCATGTAAATATCTGATATGCAGGATGGTCTTAGGCGACCCCTGTGAAAGGGTCGTGCGACCGCCAAAGGGGTCGCGACCCACAGGTTGAGAACCGCTGCCCTAGAGCAAGGAGCATCCCAGTGGGACAGCTGGATAACTTCCTGTTCCCAGCTTAGCCAGAACCAGAGCTCAGGTTTGACAGGTGACCTCTCTGTGCCTGGGGACAGCCTGCACTGCCTCCAGCAGAGGGTGAGAAGGACACACCTGGAGAGGACCTGCAGCAAGAGCGCGGAGGCTGGAGGCCAGGTCCACAGGGAGGTGGAGCACGGCCGGTTGCCTGCTCTGGGGTCCCCGTCCACCGCGCCTCGCCCCTCCCCCTGTGTTCTCTGTGAGCCCTGCTGGTCCTCACCCCCACCCCCAGCCCCTCCTGCATGAGCTGAGGTGTCTGCCCAGGCGTCCCAACATCTCACACCTGCTCTCCCCACAGGCTGTTCCCTGAAGACCGCATGCACAGCGAGGTGTCACCTCTCACCGTGGAGGACCCTAAAAATGCCCACGACTCACCATCTGAGCCTGACACGACTACGGCCGCCTCGGACCTGCCCGCGGAGCTGCCCCCAGGCCCCGCGCCCTGCCTGTCAGCCCCCGCTGGCAGCCGTGAGAGCCAGGGTTCCGGCTTCCACTTCAACGGCCCCTACCTGGGGCCGCCCCACAGCCGCTCCCTGCCGGACCTCCTGGGCCAGGACGAGGCCCCACAGATGGCTGGGAGCCAGAAGCCTCTGCCCCCAGGGTCCCTGGAGTACCTCTGCCTGCCCCAAGGGGAGCAGGTGCAGCTGGTCCCGCTGGCCCAGGTGATGGGACAGGGCCAGGCCAGGGGTGTGGAGAGGAGACCCTGCGGGGGGGCGGAGGGGAGCCCCTCCGTTGAGACTGGGGCGGGCCCTGTCCCTCACACTTCTGGGCTGCTGGTGGGTGGTCAGGGCCTGAAGGACAGCCCCACAGCTGTGTCTCCTGTGTCCGGGAGCCCTGCGGACAGCATCGCGGCCTCTGGTTATGTCACCACCGCAGACCTGGCACTCGCCTTACCCACAGAGGCACCATCTGCCTCCCGGGTCCCTCCTCCAGGCCTCCCCTCAGAGCAGAACCACAGCCTCAGTCCCAGACTGGCACGTGGGCCCCTGGAAGGCCCCACCCCCATGAAACCAGTGATTGACAGCTATGTGGAGCTCCCTTCCACCATGGGCCAGTCCCCTAAGTCCCCCCTGGGCAGCCCTGCCCCTCCTTCAGACAGCGGCCACGTCCTGAGCCCGAGGGAGCCCCGGGTGGATGTGGCCCCAGTCTCCCCGCACCCCGAGGGGCTCCTGGTCCTGCAGCAGGTGGGAGACTATTGCTTCCTCCCCGGCGTGGGGTCTGGCCCCTTGTCCCCCCAGAGTAAGTCCTCTTCTCCTGGACCCTGTCCTGAGATCAGGGACCTGGACCAGGGCTTTCCGGCCAAGAAGCCTTCCTGTCTGGCCATTCCCCAGGTGCCAGCCATTCAGCTCTTCAAGGCCCTGAAGCAGCAGGACTACCTGTCGCTGCCCCCCTGGGAGGTCAGCAGGCCTGGGGAGGTGTGCTGAGACCCTGCGGGCCTGGGGGTCACTTGGGGGAGAGGGTCTGCCTTCCTTCCTGCCCTGCCTTTCTCCCACCAGCCTCTGTGTTTTCCACACTCATTTCTGCAAAGCCAAGGAGAGGGGGCCAGGAAAACGGGAGAACTGCCCATCTTCTCCCTTGACCTTGAGCAAGGTCAAGCCTCTCTGTCTCTCTTCCTCCTCCCTCCCCGCCCCACTCCGCCACCGCCCCCTCCCCCCTTCTCACAGACACACACACACAAACACACACACACATACTTTTCCTTCAGGTTCACAGACTTTTAGGTTCTGAATTGTTAGAACGTTCCACACATTCTCGTTCCATTTGCCCCGTTTCCTCTGTTACAAGGTTTCCCTGCTTGGGCTCGTTCCTTCTTTCTCTTTTCCCTGGTTTATTATTAGAGCGAGTTCGAGGTCCCAGCGCGGCCTGTCCTGAGATGCCGTGTCTCGGTCAGAGCCTGTGCTGATGCCGCTGTGTCTGGCTGTGTTGGGGGACCTGTGCCTGTAGCCTGTTCCAGGGAGTCAGGAGCTCCAGGTTCCAGCCCGGGTGCAGGCAGCGGGAGGCGGGGCTCAGGGCAGGGGCGCTGGGGGTTGAGGACTTGGAGGAGCAGCGCAGGACTGGACCTGCCTCCGACAGGCCCCGCGGCCCCAGATCTGGTGACAAAGCACCAGTCTCGACAGTCACCCCAAGAAATGGGCGTGGTGAGGGGTGTGCAAGGGAAGAGCTGTTCTGAGCTCCTGGAATCCCGGTGGGGTCACAATGGTGACTGGGAGGTGTCGGGGCGCAGGGCCTGCACCGGGGACAGGCCGCTGCCCTGAGGGTGTGAGGTGCAGGTTCCTGGCGATCTTCCTGCACCCAGAGGGGAGTCCGGAACCCCCGTCTACTGCGGGCAGTGGGAGAGAAGGCTCAACAAAGGAAATAATAGAAGGGCACGGACGCTCTAGGGCAGTGATGGCGAACCATTTGAGTTCGGCGTGTCAGCATTTTGGAAAACCCTAACTTAACTCTGGTGCCGTGTCACATATAGAAATTTCTTGATATTTGCAACCATAGTAAAACAAAGACTTCTATTTTTGATATTTATTTTATATATTTAAATGCCATTTAACAAAGAAAAATCAACCAAAAAAATGAGTTCGCGTGTCACTTCTAACATGCGTGTCAAGTTCTCCATCACTGCTCTAGGGCTTATAGACCAAATCGCCCGGCTGCCTCTTCTCCAGGAAAACCTTCGACTCCAACTGCCACCAGCCAAGTCTGAGGGCTTTGGGCCTATGTCCAGGCCTAGGGGGGGATGATGGTTCTTTTAAATCTTTGCCTTCCTGCTCTGCAAAAGTAATAGCATTAAATTGTTTTAATTTGCATTATTTCCTAACTTTCAAGTTTGCACTTATTTTTATATTGTGAGTCTCAGTATTTTTTTGTTTGTTTGTTTTTGTTTTCTACTGGAATAAGGCCATTAAGGACTTTGTTCTGTCAGGTGCTCACCGTTTTCTGAAGAATTTTTTGAATCTATTTATATGGTCTTTCACGCATGGTGCCAGTTTCCCCCCCTCGTTTGTGGTTTGTCTTTAATTGTGTAGACGGGGCTGTGGGTGTCCACAGAGCAGTTTCTCGGGGAACGCCACCGTGGCTCCGTGTTGGTGTGAAATTTACGAAGGCCTTCCCACTTCAAAAGTGCTGTTGTCCTGATGGGTTGATTTGTTTCTCGTTCTTTTTGTGTTTCAAGCTTCTCATGTAAAACTGTAATGATTTGGGGACGTACGCGTGTGAGGTGGCGGCCAGCCATAGGCTGCCCGCAGGGAGTTTTTCATTATTCGATGAGTCACCTGTTCTCTGTCCACAAGTCCGAAAGGCCGCTCTTACCGTACAGAACGGCCCCGCACGTACTTATTTCTAGGCTTTCCATTTCTCACATTGTCCTCTCCACGGCGCCCTGCCGTTAGGTGGGTCTTGCTAGCTTTGTAATATGTTTCAATACATTTCAGAACGAATATTCTTGGCGTTTTTGTTCACTAATCTTTATTCATTGCAGCAATGTCTGTGGTCAAAGAAAATTATAAGCAACGGAAGTATTCGCCAATAGTGAAATGAATAACAATACTTTTTGTGCATTCTAAAGTACAAACCTGTGTTTAAAATGAATGAGGTGGACCTATGTGTATTAGAAAGAAGTCCAAGCTATTCGTTCCAAAATGTTCAGACACTGTTCACTGAAAGAAACTGCAATAAAGTCTTTCTTCTTATAAAACCAAACCCTAAACGTGTGTAGCTGTGTGGGAGCAGGCGGGGAAGGGCGCTGCTGGAAACCTCAGCTGCAGCTAGAGGCATGAATTCTGTGAAGCAGGAGGCTCTCCGGTCTTTGGGGCACTAGGTGAGTCTGGGGTAGTTTAGCTCTGAGCACAGAAATGCTGTGCCCAGCAGGGTGAGGAGCAGGGGGAGCTCCTGGGGCAGCCAGGAGGGAGGGAGGAAGAAGACAATTGGGGTGTGTGTGTGTGTGGGGGGGTAATAAAGGACATACGCTGAAAAAATTACCCATTGTTTTCTGAAATTCCAATATAACTGGGGTCCCGTGTGTGCTCTCTCATGAGAGGGAAGGACTAAGTTATGAGACCGAGTTCCCCATAAGCACAGCTGAGGATTGTTGAGAGCGTGTTTCCGGCAGGCACTGCCCAGCCGATTTGGTGGATCAGCTCGCTTAACCCCCACAGCCCTCTGAGGCAGACGCTGTCTTTGTCCTGCGTGAGGGAACTCCTAAGGGAGGAAACTAAGGCACAGAGAGGTTACATGACTTGTCCCAGGTCAACCAGCCAGAAGGTAGCGAGTCAGGATTTGAACCCTGGCCCCCGGGTTGAGAGCCTGCCCTTGAAAGCAAGGTCTCTCACCACACATACAGGCCAGATGATTCATGTTGCTGGACAAGGCAAGAAAACCCGCAAACCAAGCTGACACGGTGGAGGGGGGACATTGAGACAGAGGTGACCATGAAGTGTGTGGATTTCTCTGTGAGCCTAGTGTCCCGGGTGCAGGTTCTCACTGAAGTCCCAAGAGACCTACTGTGTGGGACCACAGCTCCCTGAGAGCCCAGCCCAGAGCATGCACGTAGCAGGTGGCGATGAAGGAATTGTCCCGGCTAGAGACCTCCGGGAAGCTTTCCCTGAGATGAAGGTAGACGTGCACAGGACGTGCTGGGGAGGAAGCAAAGCTGGGCAGGAGGAGCCATCAGACCTCCCAGGCCTGGCGGAGCATCTGCCAGCTGCGGAGAACTTGGGAGCAAACATTGCCTGTAGAAGGGCCCGCATTGGGCAGGAATGGCCGGCCCGGGGGCCCTCGCGGTGTCCGTCATCGGTTGGGGGCCCTGAGAAGAGGGAAGGAGCCAGAGCTGGAGGCTGTGCAGCTGAGCGGCTGGTATTTCCCTGGGAGGGGAGCCGAGCGGGCCCGAATCTTTTACGTCCATTCACCTCCCAAAGGACATCTTGGCTGCATCCAAATTTGGGCAAAACGAATAAAGGTGCTGTCAGCATCTAGTGCAGGTTCTTGTGTGCACATGTTTCAGCACTGTGAGTAGACACAGAGGAGCATGTGTGCTGGCTCATATGGGAAGAGCATATTTAGTTTGTCAGAAACTGCCAAGCTGTCTTCCAAAGTGGCTGCAGCATCTCCAAAGCCCACCTGCTGCAGGACCAGGGGCCCCTCGGGGTGCCGGGAGACTGGGGTCACATGGGCCCGGGGCTCCCTCGGGCTCAGGGTGTGGCTGCTGGCTGCAGGAGGGGCAGGGCTGCCCGGAGGGGACTTAGGGGACTGGCCCCTGGTCGAAGGGAGCTCCACATCGCTTTGAGGTATCCTCATCTGTGACATGTGGCTAACAGATGACATTTGCCAGCCTGTGCCCCACGCCCAGCACCTGCAGGCCTCAGGGTCCTCCATCCCGCTGTGTTCTGTCCACACCCCCAGGAGCAGAACCCAGGGCCCTCAGGAACCCGAGTCAGCTATCCAGGTCCTCAAACAAACTTCTGGGATCCAATCATAAACCTGAAACATTATCCACCAGGAATAGGATAATAATGGAATAATGCCCCCGTAGCTAGTTTGGCTGAGTGGTTAGAGTGTCAGTCCATGGACCGAAGAGCCACAGTTTCAATTCCTGGTCAAGGGCACATACCTGGGTTGCAGTTTCGATCCCTGACCTTGGGTTGGAGTGGGTGTACAGGCAGCAAATTGGTGTGTCTCTCACATCAATGTTTCTCTATCTCCCCCCCTCCCCCGCCCCTTCCTCCCATACACTCTCTCTCGAGATCAATGGAAAAAATATCCTCAAGTAAGGATTAGGGGAAAAAAGGGGGAATAATGCAACTTTATTATTATAAATATGAGTCTCCAAACTTTCCATGCTGGCATTTTTCTGGGTAATCATAGCAATCTCTCAGCCCTATCGGTGCAGATAATCCCGGGTCGCCTCCTCTCCTCCCCAGTGATGCTGGGTAAACACGCCTATTCAACCAGCGCCTCGGAAGACATCCCTCATCTCTCAGGGCACCGTCGAAGATCATTCAGGTAAAGGCTGCGGCCAATATGTCTCTAGAAAAACTCTGTACTCAGGGGGGAGGGCTCAGGCAGCCCCCCAAAGCCTTCATCCTCACCTTCTGAAAAGGATTGGCAGTCGACAGCAGTCACTTCTACACGCCTTTGGCTTAAATGTTGGCCTCCAAGGGCTCGGAACGATGAGGAATGGCCTTCCTGAGGCGCTCTTGTAAAGTCTGTTGTTTTGAGGTTTGAATAATCAGAACAGAATGCGTGTGGGCGCCTTGTTTATGTGCATTCCTCTTCGTCGTCTTCATCATGTCTGCCTCAAGACTAACGTATCATGGATCTGGAGTTTGGAACTGTGTGAGAGTTGGACATGGCCAAACTGACATGTTGCTTCTAATGTGTTCTCACAAGGTGCGAACAGTTCTCAAGCGAGACCTTTTCTTGAAGGATCTATGGCCTAAAAGGAATTAAACTTCTACAAACGGAAACAGAATTCTTAGCGGGGTCCTGCTCCCCTGTGAGGAATGGGAGACTCTAAGTCCATAGAGATTAGGATTTTAACTCAATTTCTATTTTCTGCCTGCATTGTTATTGGAATTTTATAAGCTCAAACTGTCTATATTCTCCCTGAAATTATCAGCAAATACATCTTAATATTTATATTAACCATCAGCCTATTTCCTGATTCTACTGTTTAAAGCACAATTATTGTTTTTTCTTCAGAAAATGAATAGCTTTCACGATCATTAGTTGGTGCAGCATTTTACTCTTGAACTAATAAATAGGGTTTATACTTCAACTGACTGATTCAATTTTAGCATAAAAGGTACATAAACAAGCTCATTGCAAGGAGACAAAAGAGTCTCCAGGTTTTAAAAAAAAGGTCCCTCTAGGTTTAAAAAAAGGCAAAACTATGGTATAGCGTTCAGAGAGGCCCACTGGGTGCTGCTGTAGAAGTGGGGATCCTGGTTTGGGGGGCTGGGCTTGTCTGGGAGCAGCATGCGGGGGGCTCTGCGGGGCTGGCTCGGTTCTACCTCTTGTCCTGGGGAGGCAATTACAAGGATCGTCACCTTCTAATAGCTTAAGCTAAACATGTTTCCTGTGATTTGGGGTACGCGGACTGTATTTAATAATGAAACAGTTGTTAAAAGGGGATAAAATTCCAATCTGTCAATCGTCTGCAAAGGAAACCACTATGAGGTTTTCTTTTTTTTAAAAAATCTTGATTGTGGAAAGTATTCCATATGCCCCCTTCCTCCCCGCATTGACCTCTTCCAGCCCACCCTTGCCCACCCCTTCCACCCCAGGCCCCTGTTGTCAGTGACCATGGGTTATGCATATAGATATACAAGTTCTTTGGTTGATCAATCCCCACCCACCCACCTCCCCCGCCTTCCCTCTGAGGTTCGACAGTCTGTTCCGTGCTTCTATGTCTCTGGATCTATTTTGTTCATTAGATGCCACAGAGGAGTGAGATCCTGTGATACTTGTCTTTCCACTGCAGAGCCCTTCAAGGAGGCCGGCGTTCCTCTCCCCAGGAAGCAGGAATGATCCCGTTTCCAAAGGTCTCTGGCATGGGGTTTATTTGATAAAAATGACACATGTGAACCAGAGAGGAAGGAAAGATGGGGATGGCCCCGCAGTCAAGCGTGCTGTTTCCCTTGCCGTCCAACAGTACATTACACCTTCCCCTGTGTTCCTACCGCGGCCACCGGGTGGGTGATGGCACCTGAAAGATCCAGCGAGTTCATCAGTCACCCAGTGCTCGCGCAGCATCACAGATCCTAGCACCGATCCCCTCTGAGCGGACACTAGGCTGCTCCTTGCTGATATTTCTGTCTCGGCAGCTGCTGTCTGCCCTGTGGTGTGGTTTCTTATCCCCAGATGACTGATGGGAGCCAGGCTTCTCTATCTCAACAGACCTTGTCTCATCACACCAAGTTCTCTGTATTCCCCCCCAGCTTTACTGAGATACTAGAGGCCTGATGCACGAAAACTCGTGCAAGAGTGGGTCTTCCTTCCCCCGGCTGCCGGCACCGGCTTCCCTCTGGCACCTGGGACCCGGGCTTCCCGCTGGTTGCTGGCAGGCACCCAGGCCCCGGGCTTCCCTTACAGCCCTGGCCTCATTTGGAAGGTCGTCTGGAAGGACATCCGGTCTAATTAGCACATTATGCTTTTATTATTATAGATGATTGACAAATAAAATGGTATGTATGTAGGTTGTATAACGTGAGATTTTTAAATTTTTTTTATTGATTTCAGAGAGAGGAAGGGAGAAGGAGGAAGGGATAAAAACATCAATGATGAGAGAATCATCCAGCGGCTGCCTCCTGCACGCCTCCTACTGGGGATTAAGCCTGAAACCCTGCACTTGCCCTGACACAGAATCAAACCAAGACCTCCTGGTTCATGGGTCGACGTTCAACCACTATCCACACCAGCCAGGCTCACATGAGGTTTTAAGGTATGCAACATAATGATTCAATGTAAGTGCACACTGAAATGTTCACCACTATCAGGTTGATGAACACATCCATCACCTCACATGGTTGCTTTTTTGTGGTGAGAGCACTTGAGAGCAACTCTCCTAGCAAATGTCAAGTACACTATAGAGTTTTAGTCACCATGCTACACATTAGATCCCCGGACCTTATTCATCTTATAACTGGAAGTTTGCACCTTTGACCAGCATCTCCCCATTTCTCCCGCCCCCCAGCTCGTAGGCA